GTTAGAACCAATCAAATGTCAAGTATATAATATATAACAATTTGCACAGTTTATTTCTATTGAAAAATTCAACAACAGATACAATATATCAAAATATAAACACTTAATGAAATTGCATATAAAATCACAAATCACTTACTTGTTCTTTGAAGATAAAGGCTTGTAGAAGTAATCTCCTAAGATAGAAATTCGTCCCTACACCAGTGCAACAGTTCAATAGACGTCTATCTTGCAGGATACAACTATCTAACCCAAGTTCTTGCACTCGAACTTGGATTCTTGGCGAATTGGTTGTGGTGTTTCTCTGTGAAGTGTGAAAAGGAAGCGATGGAATTGTTGTATTGGTTTCTGATTTGACAGCCATATATATAATGGCGCAATGGAGCAGTTAAAGCCGTTCATGTTTATCTTTAAGAACGGTTGTAACTGTTCACATGATCAGTTTTATCCTTTCGGAAAAAACTGATTGCAAAAATAAAAAACGTAAAAATGATACTTGGGTTTTTTGTCCATCTGAGCCCCAAGGCCCAAGGTCCATCTTTGACATTTAATATATACACCCAAACCCTCCAAGTTTAAGGCCCAAGGTCCATGGCTTTGGCCCAATTCTTTTTAAACTATAAGTGAGTGAACTCACTTATAAAGGTGACTTTAAAAAAGGTTTTGGGCGATGTGGGATTGGGAGTCCCCCACAAGTTCCAACAATACTCCACATTTTCTATTCAAACTCTAGCAATACCCCATATTTGAATAGAAAATAAGATTCTAACTAAATTAGTAACGTCTATCTAGAGAACTTAGATATGATACGCATCGGGATAGGTGTCTTTTGGAGTTGAACCTTCTTTAGTGAGTACTTATTGGATTTACCTAATGAAACAGTGAATTTAATATCTTGAACTGATCATTCTTAGTAGTAAATCGAAACAATAAGTATCACATATATCACATCGTGACACACTTCAATTCATACGGTTGTTTTCATTTTGGTCCTGAACATATCCTGATTTCATGAGACCTTTAGAGAATTGTAGTCATACCAATTCTCAAAGATGCGACCCTACATCAATCTTGTTGATGCACAAAATCAGTGGGGACTTTGGTATAATAGAAAGTGTTAAGTTTGTGACATTCGCTAGATTGCTCTGGTCACTAGTATGGATAGGTATGTAAATGGACAGAAATAGGGAAGGAAACACAAGATGTACGTGGTTCACCCAGACTGGCTACGTCCATGGAGTAGAGGAGTTCTCATTAATTGTGAAGGGTTTACACAAGTACAAAGGTTTAAGCTCTCCTTTAGTGAGTTCTAGTGAATGATTTACAAATGACATTAGGCAATATTGTGAGAGAATGATCTCCTTTTAAAGAAGAGAGTCTTTAGCTTTGTTCTGACTTTGACACGTGTCGTGTTGTGATTGGCCTCTGATGTTGACACGTGTCGCGCTATGATTGACCTATGATGTCGACATGTGTCACGCTGTGATTGGCCTCCTGGTTGGAGGCAAACTCTTATGGATCCTTGATGGTATAACGTTGACCGGTGCTCAGTAATTTCGGGATTGGTCAAGTATGGTACAAATAGTGTTCCCTTAAGTTCCTAAGTGAGGGAAGCTGCTCGGTTGGGGACTTACAAGATCCAAGCCGCTGAGTAATTGCGAAACTTTTAAGTACCGAACTGTGGTATCATTTTCACTTGCCTTATCTGTCTCATAGGTAGATGTGGCATCTTCTCTAGAAGTACTTTTCATCCATCTAGGGGTGGTATCTTTAACCGATGGAGATGCACAAGGTAATGTATCAATTTCACTTGAAGCTTACTTGTAGTTTCGAGCTTGATCAAGCACGATACAAACCATATAGTAGGAGTCCCCCAAGTCTCTGAGCGAGGTGATTTACCGAAAGAAGTGACAGACAAGGTAAGCAATCAGAGTTCCAAGCAGTCAATCTTAGATTGAAAGTTTGATCTCATGTTCTGGCTGATATCTCATTCTCCTTGTTCTGTAGACATCAATAAGGACAAAGAAAAGGACATGGAGAAGAGACGATATGAGATACTTTTACTTTTGAAGAAGTAACTTTCCACAGGCTTATTCTTGAACTGGGCTGGAGGGTTTTCTGGTTTCCTCCAGAATATAAGGCCGACTCAAGAATTTGAGGGTCAAAACAAGTCCATCAAATCAAAAGTTCGTTCGACCTTGATGATATGGGATACTTTTGCTTTTGAATAAGTAATAGGTGAATCAGCACGTGTTCTGTTGCACTTGTCTCCACATGCTTCCTTGTATCATTTTCATTTGCTCTATATGTTCCTTAAGCATATGTGGTATCTTCTCTAGAAGCACAAAATGTTGAAGATGAGTACTCGAGAGCAATGCTAGGTAAGTAATCAGGCAAGGGGTTCAAGGCAGTCAGTTCCTGACTGGAAGCTTGATTCCAAGTGTTGAATGATTGCTCTCTTTCTCATTGTCTTGCAGGTAAGAACAAGGGCAAAGGAAAAGATAGGGAAAAAGCATGATATAGGATACTTTTGCTTTTGACCTTGATGATATGAGATACTCTTGCTCTGGTGTGGCTAGTTTGCAGAGGTATTATTGGGGGGGGGGAGAAAGCTGAGTATTTCGAGAGGCTTTGTTGGGAGTGCCATCTCAAATATGAGGAATGGTTGAGCATTTTTGCAGGTTTGCCTGTCTGTGGAGGATGGAGGTCGACATATATAGGAGTTTCCCCAACAACAAATGGTAATGCTATTCCTTTACCCTTCTTGGTCATAGAAATATAGTGGGAGCTGTAAGCTTCACGTGTTTGAACTTTGTCAGAGCACGTTGAAAAAGTGGTCTGTGGTATCCGGAGAGCTGATGTTGCGTGTGAAGATTGCAGACAAGCTTTATCCAAGGACATCTAGCTCTCGAAGCTCGGAGAGTGGTGCCCTTTCGATTTTTGAACAAGCAATCCTATTTGGGATTTGGCTCTCGGGATTTGGAGAGGGGTGCCTCTTAGATTTTTGAGAAAGCAATCCTATTGGGAGTTTGGCTTTCGAGATTCGGAGAGCGGTGCCTCTTCGATTTTTGAGCAAGCAATCTTGTTGGGAGTGCTTTCTTGGATGTGAGTAAAGGTTGGGCATTTTTGCCAGTCTGCCTTGCCACAGAGCGCAGATGTTGACACACATAGGGACTTTCCAGTTATCAAGCAGTGATGCTGTTCCTTTGCCCTTGTGGGTAATAATAGGGTAGTTGGACCTTCAAATTTTATGTGTCTAAACTTTGTCAAAGATCTTTGGCAAAGTTATTTGTGGTACTCGATGAGCTGATGTTGCGTGTGGAGATTGTCGATAGATTTTACTTAGGAAAATCCACTTCTCGAAATCTGGATAGTGGTGCCTCTCGATTTTTGAACAAACGACCCTATTGCCCTTTCTTTTATAGGGGCACCAATTGTGTGCAAGAAGTACGTTCAAAGAGTTATTGCTTGTAAGAATTTTCCCCTTATTTTTATACTTCAGAAATTTATTGGATTATAAGAGCACTCCACCCTTGGAGCCCTCCCCCCAGGCAATCCACTATTCAATCCACCCTGTGAACAGTAACTGCCATAATGAACAGTAACTGCCTTTTGCATCTCCACCCTTGCACTTGAATAGCCCTGGCAATAGGCAATAAAATATTATTAATTTTTTTTTTTACAAAATAATACTAAATAAATTTATTTGTAATTTCGGATAAGATATTTTAAATCGTTCTCGTTGCGCCACGTGTCATTTACCCAAAACGACTATTATTGGTCATAGATTTCGATAAGATTTTTATCCAATGTCATCGTGCCACGTGTCGTTATCTTTTCAGAATCTTTGTGGATAGATTTCGATTAGATTTTAAATCGTTCTCGTTGCGCCACGTGTCCTTATCCGAAACTGGATTGAAACTTTGAGAGAAAGATAGCAATGTGATTGAAAGTAGTTGAGAAAATATGAAATTGTGGTGTAAAGTAGATGATAATGAGAAGGTATTTATAGAAAAGTAGAAACATTTTTTTTTAAAAAAATTCAGATATTTTTTTGGATTTTTTACAATTTAAAATTTTTTTATTCAAATAATTAATCTCTGCCGTTGGATTTTAAAAAAAATTGAATTCCAACACTCCAGATTGTGCCATGTGTCACAACGGTAACTTTTCTTAATTTTAAAACTATTTTATTTATTTATAAAGCATATTAATATCGACCGTTGATCTCAGATCGAACGGTTGATATTAAATAAGATTTTTTATATTTTTTTACCGTTGATATCCAACGGACCAAATTAAAGAGCCGTTGAGATCGAACGGACCGTGGGAAGCCATGTGGCTTCCCAACGGTAACTTTTCTGTCTGAAAAGTCGGCTGACTTTTCTGAAAAATGGTCGGGCGACACGCCCCTACGAGAGAGTAGGGTGCACGCGCCTGACAGAAAAAAATAAAAAAAGGGTCAGACGCCAGGCTGACACCAGCGCTGGCGTCACACCCACTCGGGCTCTCGGGCTGTCAACTCTTCACAGGCCTGGAGCTCGGGCCTCACCTCCGCTCGGGCTCCTTCAACGCTGGAGCAAGTTCACAGGGCCTCGGGCCCTTTCCTCTCCCCTGTCCCCCCGAGCAATGTCCATGGGTGGACTTGCTCTAACAGTGAAATTTAGGCGCAATCCTCGTCGTCCCATCACGACTTCAACACCAATCTTTGCACAATCACAAAGAATGCCACTATTAACAAGAATTCACCAATATACTCATGATTCTGGCAACCAAACCAACCAAATTTGTAATTACAAACTTTCCCCATCATTCCATTTATAGTGAATAAAGTAGGGCTGGGCACGGGCCGGGCCGGGCCCATTTTTGAAGGGACCGGACCGGATCCGGAATTAAAGGAGACGGGGCGGGCCGGGCCGGGCATTACAATTCTGAAAATAGGAACCGGACCTTACCTGGCCCGGTTGAAACGGGCCGGTTCGGTCCGGGTACACGGGTCCTTTTTTTTAAAAAAAAAAAATTCAATACATTCCAATTCAAAGGATATCAACGGACAAGAAACATCCAGTATGATGTGTATCTACCCATCTTTTTCATCTAATTAAGGAAATTAAAAGCTAAACAAACTAAACAATATCGTGAATTCTAAATTTACAAATTCATGGTTTCATTCTGAATCTTGCAATTACAGTTCACTACATGGCATGCAAAGCCTTGATGTAAAAAATTTAAATTTTCACGATTGCCTGCAGTATAAATGCGATTCAAATCTTAAATCTACAGACCGTGTTTCCACAATAGTTTCTATTTTACTCCAAAAAAAAAAAATTGATCGCATACAAAACACAAATTAATCACACAATTCATCCAAATATACTCGAAAATTTTCAGATGATGAATCGGAAACAACAGTCACCCGAGGTCGAATCCGATCCTAACATTCCTCAACATTGAATTACATGCATAACTCACATGTTAAAACTATTTATGTACGAGTATCGCGTTTATAGCTAAAACTAGAGCTCAAAAATTAGCAAATACAAAAACATACCCAGGTTTCGATGCGGTCGAAGCTGCAGCGCCATCAGCTTTGGTCTAAAAAAAATTAAACACCCAACAACTAAATTCAGAACTCCAAGCATTACAAATAACAACAAAATCCGAAATCAATTTCAAAAGTTAAAGAGAGAAAGGAAAAGGAGATGATTAACTGCAACAACATTGGTAATCAGTTGATCAGCCCGGCGAGCCTTCGAATTCAAACCCGAGCTAACCCCGGCGTCAGATCTGACAACAAAGAAGCTCGCTTTCCTCCCTGAATCAAATCAAAACACAAAAATTAGCTAAATTTTAAAAAGAAAAATCAACGGAGAGGGATAGGGAGAGGGATTCGAGGGAGAGGGATAGGGAGAGGGACTCAGGGAGATGGAGTCGAGGGAGAGTCTGAGAATCCGAGAGACTGAGGTCTGAGGCTGCTGAGGCTGAGGATGCTTCTGGAACTCGGGACTCGGGGAAGGTTGGCTAGGGTTGAAAGTTGAAAACTTGAACTGACGGTTGAGATTGGATGGAGAGATGATATTAAATCTCGTCCGTCCAATCTAACACAAACGGGCCGGTCCGGGTACCCGCGGATCCTATAATTTTGGAACCGGCCCACCCCTAAAACTTCAATTACCCGGCCCGCCCCGCCCCGATCTACTTTTACAAAACTAAGAACCGGCCCGTACCCGCCCCGTACCCGTATTACCCGCCCCTACCCGCGGGTCCAGGACCCGTTTGCCCAGCCCTAGAATAAAGTCATAACCTCAACCTATGAGTTTATTCAAGCTCAAAATAAATAAATCAATGAAAATCATCATGATTCTCACCCATATACTTAGATTCCCAGCAATATTTATTGGTAGAATAATTATAAGAATTTCTAGCCATACACATTGGCAAAATAATTATCAAACATCAAGCTGCAATCCTCATTGGCTAAATAAATACCAAGTTATCAAACCACATCTACTATTGGCTAGATAATTACTAGCATAATAACTACAATCATAGGTAAAACCACTTACCATTATTAACTATACACAGCCGTTATCACGATTTTATTTTATTTTTTTCAAAATTTCTAGCCACACTCACTAGCAAAACCAACCTCAAATTTTTTTTGCCATATTCATCATTAGCAAAACAAATATCATAAATTCCAGCCGTAACCTTCATTGGCCAAATAAATATCAGAATTCCAAGCCAAACCATCAGAATTGGCAAATCAAATATCATAATTTCCGGCCAAAAGCATTGGAAATTCAAATCACAGTTACTCACCACTAGATATTAAACCAATCATAGCCTCGAGTTGTGTTTTCATTCTCGTTTGTAAAATCATCGTGACTTTCATAAATACTAAAATTTCCAACCATAATTATTGTGGCCATAAGATTTTAAAATTTCTAGTCATAATCATCATTGGCAAAACAATGATTTGATCACCTTTTTCTTTTATCCCCATAAGTAACTAGTAGACTAGAAAAGATTGTAATATACCAGGTCAATACACATCACACATATTTATCACTTTAATAATTCATTCTCACAACTCACACATGGAGCTTCTCCCTGGAAACATTGGGTCATTATGCCCACTCATCCATTGCTCACATTCCACGGGTCATTTTACCCATTCCAACATTCCTCCACATTCCACGGCCTTTTCGCCCGAATCAACATCCACGGTATTTTCCACCTTATTCAACATTTCTCTATTGCACAGATATAATACAACTTTTCTATATACTTATCACAATTGCACAATCATCTTAACATTCAAAATTTTCATATCGCATAACATAATATCAACCCAATTCAAGATTAATTCCAGATTTTAATCAAACACTCATCTTTGAAGCTATAACATGAAATATGATATTTTAATTTTTTTTTTCTCCCATTCAATCATACGAACACAACCATTTCATAATCATCCATATCCATGATTTAAATGAAAGGCATTCTAACTACTATTTGAAGTAATAATGATGCATGTGAATTTCACACCACATTTTCTAAAGATTAAATGAAAAAAAAATTAACTGAACCACTTACTCAACGTACTATCAACATTCATTGACAGAAACTCTACTTCAAAATAAATTAGCCCAATACATGAGCTCAACACATCGATACCAACCAAGAGCAATGTCACATAAGCAACACAAGGCTTCAAACCAACAAGATCAAACGCTTAAGTAGCGTCCCATCAAAGTTACACATTACGTTACCCAAAAACCGTTACTACACTAAGGTGAAGGTACGAGGACCTAATACCTAAGCTCTGATACCATAAAAGTTGTCACGCTCTGATCCCGACGTATATCTAGGATTGAGACGTGACGTCATCAAATAACCATATATCTAACATACTCGTCTCCGAGATATGAACCAAGCACATGCCATGCCTCGAATTGCGCAGTAAATTTGGTACACTTTATGGCTGCATCTAACCTTCTCGTTAGACTGCCTACGTACCCTACACAGGGATCAAGCCATTCGTAGTTCATCTTTGCTACAACTCGACATATAACATAGTCCGTTCAAGCCAAAAGGCATAACATTCCTCAATCAAACATTTGGACTTGACAAGCATGAAATTATTCGATTCAAGCTACATAACAACCCACATGACAATCAAGGTTTCTATTTCATCCATCATATAAATCATTATCTTTCAACATAAAATCGCAATTCATATCATGTGATATATCAAAGAATCAGCAAAGCACAATAATATCTTCTAGTCGTATTGATCACTGATCTAATCGTATTAATAACAATCATACTCTACATCACTCCACAATCACCTCAAGTAGCCCATTCCATGATCAGTCAACCAGATCATATATCAGTGCACGAAATTAAATGAAGGAATTCTACATAATTCCCTGCTTGTATTCTAAGTAATAACCTGATAATTCTAATTTATATTCACAAGGTCTATTATGGGTAATTCTCATTCATTCAAATCTAAGGTTCTAGACTAACCTTATGACAATGAGCAAGAGCAAGGAATCCGGACTACTCAACGGAATCCAACAGTCTTGGGTTCCGAACAACTCAATGAAACTAAAATACCATGCTGTTTCTCGTACTTTACACATACCTGTCATATTCAGTGCCTGCATCAAGGGAATGGTGCACTAGCAATTCATAACTCGGTTAAGCTACGAAGCTCGGGTGAGTGACAATAATACAAGTATGTGATATTCAATAAAAACAGACCATCGATCACAATTTATAAACATTGAGTATAGAGTCATGCTTTATGAAATCATAATCAAGTCGCTGAGAACTCCGAAGGAGTCACCCAGACATCCAACGGCTTTTCCCATTCAAACCACCAAGATTCCCAAAAACCATCGTTCATATATAGATTAAAACTAGGGCTAGATGGAAGCAGTTCGGTCGAAGCCTACATAAGTAACCAAACAGGAAGTGCCCCCCACCCAAAGCAGATTAACCAAGCAGAGCCACCCTTGAGAAAGTAATCAAGTAGGCAGTGACCCCCCCCCCCCGGCAACGCAGATTAACCAAGTAAGGTCACTTTCAAGAAATGGGGGAAAGAAAATGTCCACCCCCTAACCATTGGATTGGCCCCCCCTTTTTTTACTCCTCATAGCCGGTTCCCTTAACCCAATTATATATTTGGGCCTTTTACTCTCCAGTGGAAATTAATTAATTTCCACAACCTAAAGTTTCACAACTTCAAACGTCTGTAACTATACCGTTATAATTCGGACTCACAAACGGCTTTCGCATATGCGTTCGTGATTTCGAGATCTCTCCAAAAATATAAATTGTGACCTCGAAAGGTCTACGAATTTTAGATAATTAATTTCCAAACTTCAACTTCGTAACTAGTTTAATTAAAATCTAAATTCAAATAAATCAATATAATTTCTCGTAAAAAAAATATAAAGTCTTAATAATACAAATATGTAGATTATAACAGTGAAATTCAGGGACGAGATTTCACATATTTGTTCGAACCTGCCAAGTTGAATCATTGACGACTTAAGTGATAAGTCTCAAACAGGAGATCAGAGGGCTCAAGCACGAGAATAAATAGTTGCACAGGCTCGCACATGACTATGCTACAAGCATGAAGAGGAAGCTTGATCGGCTGCAGGAATCTGATGGTCAGATTTTTCTTGATCGTCAAAGGTTTGTGGGTTTGTTCGAAAGACGTTTATTGCCTCCATCTTCTGGGGCTGTACCACGTACTGAAGCTCCAAATGATCAACCTCCGGTGCCTTCTCTTCCTGGGGTTCTGCCTAATACTGAGGCTCCAAATAATCACCCTTCGGTGCCTCCTCTTTCTGGGGCTCTGCCGAGTACTGAGACTTCTCATGAGCAACCTTTGTGAAGGTTCCCTCCTGTTTGTTTATTTTGATTCATGTATATGTACATATCTGTAACTTATCGGAGATATTAATAAATAAGCTTTGCTTCATTTCAACGTATTGTGTTAAATACACTAAGGCATACTTCACTAATTTCTCGAGTGAGGAAAGCTTCTTGGTTGGGGACTTGAAAGATCTAAGTCACTGAGTAGTCGTGAAACTTCCGAGTACCGAGATGCAGTAGCATATGGTAAGAGTCCCCCAAGTCTCCAGTCGAGGGAGTTGACAAAGTAGGTGTCTTGCTAGTAGCCAATTTTCCAAAGTAAAAAAATTTCACCATTGTCCTTTCTAAGTGGTAGCCCAAAACTCATTCTTCATATATATTTGGTATGAAAGTTGTTAGACCCAAAGAAAGGGAGGCCTAGGCCATTTTATTTTATTTTTTTTTTGAATTTTTGAAAATATTTTTTTTAATAGGTGAAGCTTTGATGTTGAAGCTTTTATAGGTGAAGCTTTTGTAGGTGAAGCTTTATAGGTGAAGCTTTGGTGTTGAAGCTTTGTAGGTGAAGCTTTTGTGTTGAAGCTTTGTAGGTGAAGCTTTGTAGGTGAAGCTTTTGTTGGCACCATAAATTGGTTTTGCTTCACACTGTCTTGATCAAGAGTGTGTGAAGCTTTTGAGAATTGTAGATGCCCTCCATTGATGAAGCTTTTGTTGGTACCATAAATTGGTTTTGCTTCACACTATCTTGATCAAGAGTGTGTGAAGCTTTTGGGAATTGTGGTTGAACTCCATTGATGAAGCTTTAGTTGGCACCATAAATTGGTTCTGCTTAACACTATCATGATCAAAAGTGTGAAGCTTTTGAGAATTGTAGTTGCCCTCCATTGATGAAACTTTTGTTGGCACCATAAATTGGTTTTGCTTTACACTATCTTGATCAAGAGTGTGTGAAGCTTTTGAGAATTGTGGTTGAACTCCATTGATGAAGCTTTTGTTGGCACCATAAATTGGTTTTGCTTCACACTATCTTGATCAAGAGTGTGTGAAGCTTTTGAAAATTATGGTTGAACTCCTTTGATGAAGCTAATGTGTTCACCTCCTCCCTTTTTTTCTTTTTTTTTTTGAGGGGGAGAAAGAGAGATGTGAGTTTGAAATTTGAAAACTCCCTAGCTTGTGTGGAAGTTTGAAGACTTTCCATGTGGAGTTTTCTTATGATTTGAATTTTGAATTTTAAATTTCTTTGGCCATGTTGAACCATATAAGAATGATAAGTTTCCACTCTTGTTATTGTCTTCATTTGCTCATTTTGTAGTGATTTTTGGAGACAGAGTGCCCTCTAGTTGAGAGGGATTTCGGCATTGCTTTGCTTCATCTTCAGGTTGGTGGTCTTCTCC